CCCCCTACCCCTTCCCACGGACCGACGGCCCCCCCCCGGCCGTCCCCCTCCAACGTGCCCCCCCCGGCCACGCGCACGCCCACGGCTTCCAAATCGGGGGGTAGTTCTGCAGAAGGCCAAGGTGCTCATCGCTGGGGCTCCCAAGCCTCGCCCCCCTCCTGAAAAGGCGGAACCGTTCCCGTACTCACGGAGCGCCCCTCTGGGGGTCGCGACGGCGCCTTCGGATGGCCCCCGGAGCCGAGAGTTTGAGCCGCTGGGGAGGTCTAGGTCGGGCGACCAGCCTCAGGGCGCGTTTTCCGGGCCCCTTTCCGGCCGGAAGGGCTCCGGGGAAAAGGACCGGAGAGGCTTGCCTGGCCCTCTGCAATCCTGGGGGGACAGTCCGAAGTCCGGGGACCTGAACGAGCGCAGCATTTCCAGGGAGGGGCGCCAAGGGTCCGGGGACCTGTCAGCCAAGCAGTGCGCAGGGGACAGCAGCGGGAAGGCGCTGAAAGTGCTCGGGCTCGAGGAGCACGGTGGCCCTGGCAGCACAGGGGGATCCCTCGGGTGGACCGGGTCCCAGGACGGGAGCGGCAGCTTCGACGAGGACGGGGAGAGCGGCGGGGGCAAGAAGGGGCTCGCGCGCTTCCTGCCGAAGCTGGGCCGAGGCAAGGGGAAAGCAGCGAAGGAGAGCGAGAAGAGTTCGAAAGAGGACTCTGCCTTGTATCGGGACCGTTCATTGGGCGGGCAGTCCACTGGGAGCGTCAGTTCGGGATCGGACGTTCCACTACCCAGTCAGGGCAGTGGGGGGTGGTTTGCCACAGAGATACTTCCCCGGCAGGGGAGCGGCCCCATTTCGGGGGGGCAGTCTCCGCCCCCCGACAGCCTGTACGAGCCTCTTGGGAGAACCCCCCCGGGGGAGTGCGAGGCCTTTCCCCGGCGGCGTGACGTCCAGCGCTTTGACAGTTTCCGGTCGGTCGGGTCGCTGACGTCCGACGAGCCGGAGAGCGACGCGTGCGAGAGCTTCCCGTTCCGGCGCCCGGCGCCCCAGACGGAGAAGGGATTCCCCTCGCAGCGCCCGGGAGCGGAGTCGGAGGGCCTCCAGCGGCTCATGCAGCGCCTGAGCGTGTACGAGGGCGTTGATCCCGCGGCGGATCGCTCAGCCGCCGATTTTGCAACAAAGACGGCACGAACCGTGCTGCCGGCGGCGGCTTCCCGTCAGCAGAACGGTGTGGCTGTGAAGGAGGCCGAGATGGGCTCCCAGGAGAAGGCCCGAGCGGAGAACGGGATGAGCCCGCGGAGCATTTTGACCGAGGGGCCATCTGTTGGCACGCCCGCACGTCGTGTTCGAGGACGTGTGAGCGGAGAAAACGCGTACGACGAGGAAGAGGAGGAGCCGAAGTCCCCTGCATTCGCTCTGGGCATTGGTGGGTCCATCTAACGGAACCTTGGGACTAGTGCCCATTCAAGGGGCTTGCAGATTAAGCCTTTCGTTTCAGCTGAGTTTTGCATATGAGATTGCGATTCTGTGAGAACCTCGTCTTTGCTATGGGGACCCCGCTTTACAGGAATTCTTTGGCAGCTGTTGAGACTGTACCTTACTCCTTGCAAAGTCCCGAGTTTATCTGAACACTTAAATCGCGAAGTTTTTGTGAGCTGCGTCAAGTCCGCTTCTGGTCCTTCTCGTAAGCTCATGCCTCAGCAGCGGCGTTGTGGAAAATGATCCTTCCGCTGCATCACTGCAGGTACTGAAGACGAGGTTGACTTTGACGACGATACCGGTGTCTCTCACGTTGGGCCGAGTGCCCGCAGCGCCCCAGCAACAGTGGTCAGCGTGAGAATCATCAGTGATGCAGCTGCGGTGACGGCCCTGCCAGCTGTCCCGGTCACTAAAGCGCCCGGGTCACACGCACCGGGCACTCAGAGGGGTGTGATTGCGGCCGCACCCGTTGTTGACGGTGTGGCCCCTGTGAACGGGCGGGCAACTGAGGGTGCGGTACACGATGATCCGTTGGTACGGTTGCAGCGGTTAAGAGTGGGGGTTGGTTCATGACGGCCACGAAAGCAGGTCGGCGGTTTAGTTGTCGCCATACATCAGATCAAGTTGGAAGGCTCTGTCGGTTTCTGGTTAGTATTTATATTTCAGCACACCGGTTTACATAAGACACGATCGTGATTGCAGTTATGGGATCTTGCAAAAAGGTGGACCGCTGATACGTATGTTAGAGGGGAGATGTCTGCAGAAGGTGGACGTGAAAGGGGTTTAGTCTGGTACGTGGGTTAATGTTGAACAGAGAAGCGGTCAATCACCAGTCTTGTTTGGATTGCAGACCAATGCATAGCTTACATGAAAGTAACACACATATATTGAACTTCGCCAACATACACTTACCTGTTGTTGTTCAGGTTTGTAGTATCCTGTCTTGCTGCTTGCTAAAGTACTAGCCGCCAGCCCTCTTTGCACAATGTACGTGCAATTTGTGCATCACATTCAAGCCTCAAATGCATGCATATCATGATCACATTGCTCCTTTGATTGCATGGTTCGAAACTGGAGTTGAGCATGAGTCTATGGCCTGATCGCGCGTAGGCCGCCATCATTGGAATACCTTTGCGTCAGTTAAGCTGCAGGCTCCCTTCGTGACGTACGTACGCCAGCATTCTGCATGGCCGTGACTTTTAGAACGTCGCGACAAGACAAATCAGTCACTTGATTGAAACAACAATGAAATCATTGTTGGAGCAAGAGGCCATGCATGAACCATGACATGGTCTCTTTCCAAAGACCCCGCGCCGTAGCCAGTTCGGCCATAGGCTTCTCAGGGCATACATGTAGTGACCTACCTATGGTGTGTGTTCCGGCCATTGGCTTATGATGCGATACGTCGAACTGCACGCAGCACGAGTGGACATGCGCTTCCGACCGAAGTGCGATCAGGTGCTCCGCGCCGGTGCGGCCGCGATCGGGGATCCGGCTGCGGCGCGCTTGACCTCGCCGATCGACGGCGACTAGCTGGTAAGCACCGTAACCACGATGTAAAATCTACGTTTAGTAACCCGAACTCACTGCCACAGGCGGCCTGTACCGCGCCGCCGGTTCCATCTTTCCCGGCTGGTCTGGACCCTGGCCGGCCAGGAGTCTGGGCATCGGAATACTCGCGAGTACAGCGATTGCACAGTGATGAGCCTCCCACCGTTCGATGAACAGGGCCTTTTGAGCCCCGAATGCAAACCCTTTGTATAAGCCCTTGCAGAGGCCGGGCAAACCCGCGGCAGTTGGCGCGACCTTGCATTTCCACCCAACCCAGCCGGGTACATCTACCGGGGGCCCCGAGCCCAACCCCCTCTGGCATAAGTTATGAGCCAAAAGGGGCCCGGCGCAGCTATACGGGCTCAGCCCGTGCCGTTACCAAGCACTCACAGACCGTTCCCATTCAGCACGCCAAAAGAAGACGTCCAGCTTCCTTGCCCATTGAGATGAGCCCTCGCAATGTGCAAATCAGCAGCAATCTTGCTCGCTTTACACAGTTCGCTTTCTTCGGTGCCAATTTCTCAGCGGTTTAGCGGCTTCCGTGTGCGTTAGGCCTCTTTGCAGTAGAATGACAGAGCCAAAGCAGGCGGCCTTAGAGAAGCTGCAGGGCAGATTGGTGTGGCTCAGGGCTTTCAGGTTGGCCAGCAATTAATGTCAACAGGAATTGGTGTTCTGTAAAGCGTTGTGGGGGCGCTTCCTAGTATCAGTCTCATTATCTCTCTTGGCCTTTTAGGAGCAAATCAGAGCTGGCCCTTCAACTGTGTCGTCATGGCAAAAGGCCGCCCTCATGGCCGGTCCAAGTCTGACCACAGAGTTTGTCAGGCAGCCCGACATGCGCTAGCGGCTGAGTACAGGGAGAGGATCGCCATCAGTGCTGAGTTGCAGGAGGCGCGGATTGCGGCGGTTAACGTAGAGTGCAACGTGGAAGATGCCCCTCGTAGGCGGCGGGGCCAGAAGTCTAAGGATCCAAAGACCAAGGCATCAGCTGCTCGGGTGTCAGCACAGGGCCATTCTTCCAAGGCAACTGGCAGTGGGAAAAAGAAAGCAAACAAGCGATTGGAACATGCGCATGGCAAAGCTGCACAAAGCGGTGAGTTTCTGGTGCATGGCTTCTGCGTTGAATGCTTCAAGTTATGAGGCGGACGCAAAGCAGAAGCTGGGACATGCTGGTGTGTAAGATAGAAAGGTGACGGGTGGGTGGCCTTGCAATGTGTACCAAGAAAGAGCATATCTGTTCTAGTATTGGAAGGAACGAAGTTGGTACACACTGCTTTTGGTAGCGCGGTCAGAATGGTTAAAGGGTGGCTGGCTCTGCAGTTACTCATAAGATTCTGAGGAGTCTTAGCGGGCATGTTCGTCCCTGGGACGTACCAGACTTTGCCTTTTTCTCTTTAGAACATAAGAAGCTAATTCTTGGTACATACTGTCAATCACAAAGTTCTAAGCAATCTTAGCGGGCATGGCCGTTCCTGGGACGTACCGGACTTTGCCTCTTTCTTTTTAGAACATAAGAGGCTGATTCTTGGTACATGCTGTCAATCACAAAGTTTCAAGCAATCTTAGCGGGCATGGCCGTCCTTGCAGTGTACCAAAATCAACCTCTTTCTCTTTAGATTATAAAAGGCTGATTCTTGGTACGCGCTGGCAATTACAAAGTTCCAACCCCACTGCCGAAGAAAGAGACATGACTGCAAAAGGCAGGGGCACACACCAAGTCTTGCAGGCATTTCCAAATTTAGAGTTCAGGTTCCCTACCCAACCTCTGCGCTTCTTTATTGCAGACGTGCACAGTCTGCATTGTCATGCGTGCGGCGCCACTGCTGAGGTTGGGCTGAGGGGAAGCAAGGAGGGGGGCAGCGTCAAGTACTCATGCAGAGGGCACTCCATGTCCAATGGTTGCTTTCGAATCGACCGAGACCGCGCAGGTGAGAGATTTTGGGGAGCCTGATGTTGACATGGTCTAGATGCAATGCCATGCTCATAGCTGCCCTCCCATTGCCAGCAATGAGCCTTTAGAAAAGACTGTCGAGAGGTTCAAATGCTCTGTGTGCTCCTGCAGCATGGGCAGAGGACGCAGAGATGCGCCGCCTGAGAGCAGAGGAGAGGAGATTGGAAGCAGAGCTGCGGCAACTTGGAGGGGCCTCGTTTGCTGCAAAGCCGACATCAGGTGGCGTGTGGCGCGATCTGATCCAAGTGGTTGTTCTCCCTTACAGAACTTGGGGGCTGCAAGCCCCCTATCATGCCTCTAATGCATTATGGCTCCTTCTGCTGTGCACTTTACAGATAAATCAATAGTGACGGCAACTCAGCGCTCATTGTCTGCTTCTGCAGCTAGGAGTGAGTTCCCAACAACAGGGCTCTGGGCTTCGATGCACATGAGCGAGTCACTCATAGGTAAGGCACTTCAATTCTGGATCTGCAGTCCACTCGTGAAGCATGTGGCCTTCTTTGAACATGCAAACACGTGTAAAGCACTTGGGCTCCTACGACATATCTGACATGTTTCGTTTGGAATTTGCTGGCTGCTTGTGGATGAGGACAGCGCGGCGCACATGCAGCATCTGAATGTGGCGTCCTCCCATGCAGAGATGCTACTCACTATCGGCGGAGTCGAACGCAACCCGGGCCCTACTACAAAGGAGGTGAGCCCGGACAAGGGGACTTGCTTCCAGCAGTTCAGGGTGTTACCAGCACCAATTGTCTTCGAGCATTAAGGAGCAACTGTGTGACTTCTCTCAGTGTCCATGCTATCGAGAGCGGGCTATAAATGGTTGTGCTCATTTTTGCTGTGGCCCCTCCACAGGAGAAAGAGCTGGCTTTGAAGAAGAGCTGGCAGGAAGTCGATTCCGACATTGAACCTGAGCTGCTAGACTACCTGGCAAAGGAGGCACTCACCTTGGCACGCTGGAGAGGGACGCCCGAGGACCTCCGCCCTAAGCGTCTGAGCGACTTGCAACAAGACTACCCAGGGCCAGGAAGTTGGTTGAAGGGCTGGAATGCGATCTTCGATAAAGCTGCAGGTAAGCAGCTCCCTCTATCCAATGAGTAGGCTAGCTTCGATGCAATTCGCTTGGAGATCAGGCCTATCGAGGTATTCATCGAATACTGGACATAAGGGAGCCGAGCCTTCTGGTGTTGTTCGTCAGCAAGTGCGCCCAGATAGCTGGAAGAGAATGGCACGACAGGGGCTTTGCTGATTGGAAGGTCTCTCTTGGTTTTTCTGCTGATGTGATTGCGGTCTGCTCTTGTTTGGTATCAATCCTTCCGAGGATGGTGCATGCTAAGCATGGTGTGATTCCTAGCAGAAGCTGAGTTGCTCTGAAGCAGAAAGTTGTTTGCTGTGCAATTTTGTTGGCAGAACAGGTGCAACTCCTGAGCATCAGGGTGCTTGTCAGCCGTCACCCTTATGCAATCCCCCAATGGTTAATTCTTCACCTTGCTCCTGTCTGAGAGGCAACCATTGCGGCGCCCTCATCTGCTCTTCCTTCTGCTGCAGTTGCTGGCAGGAGGGGTCAGGATGCAGAAGCGGGCCACTCTGGGGATGCTGCTCAGGGAAATCAGACTCGTGAGTTCTGCCGCTCATCTTCTGTGCTCTTGCGTTACGGTATACTTGTTTCTGCAGAGTGCTTCTTGAGGTTGCTTGTCGCTTGCGCTCGCCGCCTTACTTGTGCACGATGGACAACTCAAAGATAGGCCTAGCAACCCAGCACCATCCCTAGTACCTGGCTCTTGTCTCTCTTCTGGGGTTTCTGCTGATGTGGCTGCCTTTTGCTATTGTCTGGTATCAAAGTGCCCGCAAGCCGCTCTTCTGACAAGCAATGCCTGCATTGTGGCTAAGTCTGAACACGTGCCTCATAGTCTTCTTGAGTCTGTGATCTGTGGGCTACTTGTTGCATCGAGTGTTTCCTTGAGGTGATAAACATGGTTTAAACCTATCTTCCAAAGCATGCGCCTACAGGGAAACTGAATAGTAAGCTGTTTCCAGACAAACTCGACCTGACCAAAAGCTTGGTGCTCTGCAGGGGTCCCATCCAGTGCTAAACCCAGCTTCAAACGGTCAACATGCCTTGATACATCAGACATTGGGGTTCTTGCGAAGCGTCTGGTGAAGAAAAGGAGATTGGAGCTTGAGCAAGCAGGAGAAACGGAAAAGGGCCTCTTCGAGATTGGCTGGAGCATCCTGCCGCAGGCAAAACCTTTGGGTGTCAAGGATCTACGGTTTCTAGTGCTGAAGGCAGAGCAGAAACTCGGAGTTGCGGTGATGGGGCGCTCTCATTTCAAGGCTCTAGTAGATCGTGCAGTTGCGCTTATGGAGGGAAAGCTGCCGGGTGGTGGGCGGAAGGTCCTCATGCACGGGCCTGCAGGGTTCGGCAAAACACATCTCCTTCTGCAG